GATTGCTACTGGTATATGCAAGGTGGAGGAGAAACATCAGACGCAAGGTAATTATTCTTAGTCAGAGGAGAGTGTGGATGAGTGTACAACGAACAGGATAAACAAGGAATGTTTGCTAAAACTCATCGTAGCAACTTGCGTAGAAATCCCACTAAGTAAGCAACAGATCCTACAACCTGGAAACAACATTCACAGGGCCAAGAGGATCTTCCAGGCTATATGGTTAGGTGATAAATGGCTCTTAACATAAGGTTGAAGATGACGTGTTGAGGGTCAGTAGGAGAAAGTCACAGAAAGAAAAGATTATTTCATTTCTAAAAATGAGTATCTTCAAAATCCAGCCTCAGCTTTCTTATGAGTAAAATTTAAATATACAATCATTCAGCCTTTCCATAAATAGCTACATATACGCTATGAAAAGAAGTCACATCTTTTTTCTTTGTTGTTTGTTTAATTAAGTCATGAATTAATTAAAAAGTCAAAAATTTAGCTGGTCTTTTTTTCTGTCCTTTTTTTTTTTTTACAAAAATATTAAAGCAATGTAAGCAAAATTGGAACAAGGAGATGGAAGAACAAGTAGACACTAAACTGGAATAGGTGAACTTCAGGTCATCATGGCTATTGAGGAAATGTAAACTTTTAAGCTTCTAAGATTTTATTCTCTTCAGAAAACATTTAAGGAGGCTGCCTTTCTCCATGAAGAAGAATGAAAAGTTCCCTATGCAGTCGAACCTAAAGAAGACAAGAAAATACTGCTTTTCCTGCTGGAAAATATCTATCTCCTTATTATTTCCCACCTGCACCGCCCTCTCCATCCCCATCGGTTTATGGGATCAAAAGAGAGAGAAGCCATGAGTTGCCACCAGCAGCACAGGTGTCAGTGACATTCAGACTCACTGACAATGAGTAAACTAATCTTGAATAAAATATACCACTTAAAAAAAAGTCCCAGAAACCCATAAACTGCCTTTTATGGAAGGTTACAAAAAATTCTCAAGACTTCTTATGCTGCCATAAAGTACCTTTCTGGACTAGATCTCTATGGGGGTAAAAATAAATTAGAAAAAAAATGTTAAATTACCATTCTGGAATTCTGTTCTTATTATGAATGACTTCATTACAGTCTACAGGGCTGGGTTGATGCCAAAATGGTTTCATGAATCTTTCAGTCTTACATAGCCAAAGTTCTCAAACTATATTGAGTTGCATTCTGCAGCCACTAACACATGATAATGGCTTTTCATAATTTGCAAAAAGCTATTACATTAATGTCTGGACATTTCTCAATTTTATTCTTTTCTCATAAATGTTCCTTGAATGTTGGCACCTTCTGCTGATCTGTATGAAAATCTACTCCTAGATGGGGTCTGATTTAATTAAATTAACTATTTAACCATAGTTATTTCAATATATATATTTTCATATTATCCTTAGAGTACTGTTCCCTCCAGGTAACCCACTGCCTAAACACATGTAAGAGCCCCTGTTCTGTAGTGGAATATGTTGCCCCTAACCCAGCATGAGAGCAGATTTGTAGAGCTAATGATGTTAGGCAAGGAGCTTCTTTATCAGAGATGTTAAAGGTCTACAGTCCCTTACCTAAAAAACTCAGAAATCTAAGTTGGCTGGTTTGGTTTTTCTAAATTTGATGCCATAATTCATTTGGTAGTAAAACCTGATTTAAATTGATGTGAGATTATTGTACTTTTTTATTTATGCCACTTCATGTGACTATTTGTTAATTTTACCAGAAGAAATATCAGTGGGTTTGATGACAGATATTTGGAGTTTCATAATATTCGAAATATGCTTAGATTACCTTTTTAAAATGCAAAAATTATGAATTCTGAAACACATCTGGCCCATGGGTTTTGGATAAGGGATTGTAGACATTTAAGAAGCATCGCACAATGGTCTGACTTCATTCAAAACATAAAAATATTACAAAGCAAATTATATTTTTAATCTTTTTTGGCTCAATTCTTGTACAACTTGTTTTTTGCGAGGGGAAGAAAACAAAACAAAACCCTGAGTCTGATTGTTAGGGAATCGATTATTATTATTATTTTTTTTTAAGGATCATATTGATTCAGGACGTTCTACTGGACCTAGAAATGGATAAGTCTTTCCTGTGGCAGTAGAAGTTCAATTATAATTCTGTTGGCTTTGTAAATGTGACCCTACAACAGATTATTATGTGAATTTCAGTTCAGAAGTGCCTGCTCTTTGGTTTGGTTGTACTATTTTATTATGTATTTGTAAGCATATTTATTTAGAAATTAACATCATTCAGCCATGGAAATTCTAAAATATGTTCAAGGACCCTTCATAATTAAAACATGTATAGAAAACAATCCTCATTTCTTTTTTAAAAAAACAAAATCATGAGAATTACTCTCTTCTGTATGTTATAAATCTTTATCTGGATCTGTTAAACCATATATTATTGATCCTTGCAAGTGAAACCTAGGGAGACTTTCTAATGTTTATATTATGAAAGAATTTTGGTAACAGTTGCTTCCGTTTGAATAATTATATGTCTTTTTCTTTGTAGAAGAAGGTAATACCATAATATTTTGCTGAATTATATCAACAGATTTAATTTTATTACATCATGTTATAATATAAACGTATTACTCATTTGAGGTCACTTTTAAATATTCGTACTTTTTGACATAAGATGCTTTGTATCTTTCTCATTTCCTTTAGTTCTAAGTAAGTCAGCTTTAAAAAGTACCTGCTAACCATAACTTTCCATGTTTCTGACTAAATTTTTCAGTTCAGATTATAGTTCAGTATGGTGACTATAAATTTGGTATTTTGAGGAGGAGATATAGTAGCTGTTATATTTTACACTTGCTTGATGTGACAACTCTAAAGACATTTTTAAATTGATAAAAGTGTACATGGCTATTTTGATACATATTAGAACTTGTGTTTGCTACTTTAGAAGCTTTTGTGGCAGAATTGTAACCTAACTTTCATATCTTGTATTTCTGAATCACAACAAAAAATAAATGGGGAATAAGCTTTTCAGATTTGAAAATTATTTTTCTGAGAATTTGCATTTTTAAGAGACCATTTAAGCAAAACATAAATGTCTTCTATAATGTTATCCTTACTTTCTATCCTAAGCATTTCACCAGGCCTGATTTTTATCCTTTTTTAGGAATAGGAATTATTATTTTTGGAGTACTTAGTATTCTGAGCTCTTGTTTCAAATATGTTCTGTTCGTGTGAACTATGATGTGGGATTTATGAGTTTAAGAAATGAGGAATTTAGTAAAATTCCTAAGTAATTATGTTTTCCATACAAATAGATTTCTCATACTTTAAATTAAACCTGCGTATTCCAACAATGAAATATCTTCTAGAGCCTGATGGGCAGCAAATGATACAAGACTGATAAGTAAAAGGACATACCTTATTATTTATGAGTTTTTAAATAGAAGCATTTTGGCATGTTGAGAAGAGATTTCTTGAACATCTTGGTTTGCAGGTTAAACTTTCTTTACATTTGAGCAATGAATAGCATGGGATAGTCCTATAATTTTTATGTTTGGATGTTAAAAAGAAAATTATTTTTTTATTTCTGTTCCACTTCTGATTTTATAACCGCCATTTTTCTCATTCAACATGTATTTGTTGAGCAGCAATTTTGAGCTCTGTATTAGGCACTGGAGATATAATTCCATATAAATAATTTGTCCCTTTCTCATGGCAATTAACATTTGTTTCCTCACCCTCCCTCGCCCCACTTTCATCCCTCTGGTGGCTCTTCTGTGTCCTTACAAGTCTTCCTGGAGAAAGAAGAACCACTCCCCCTTCCCTTCTTCAGCTTGGAGCCTCTGAATTTTAGGCCCCAAATATCTGAATGCTAAGCACTGTTCTAAGCTGGGAATTCACCAAGGAAAAATATGGTCTCTGCCCCCAAATAGTTTATAATCTAGTGAGAAAAACATATGCCAGAAATTACACTGTGATCCGAGAATAGCTATAATTAAGATATCATAACTAACACTGAACACTTAACAGGTGCCAGTTGGTCACTGTTGGGAGTGCGTTACATGTTTTAACTCATTGAAATCATACACTAACCCTAAGAGTAGTACTATTTATAGCTCCATGTTATAAATGAAGGAATAGGAACAGAGGGGTTAAATAACTAGCTGAAGGTCACAGCTACTAAGTGATGGAGCCAGGATTCAAACTCCTGCTTTGGTTTTTTAGCTTCTAGGCTCTGTACTAAACATCTTCTAGCTGCACAGATCAAATCCTAAGACTGCCTGGGAAAGTCAGGGATGGTTGCACAGAGGAAGTTCTTGAGCTGTCACTTGAGGAATGAGTATGAATTTGCCAGGTGAAAGGGTTGGGTGCATTTCAGGGAGACCAGCAGAAAGGCAGAAGATGTGAGGAATTGTGGCATTTTCCAGAAACCACAAAAAGTTAATATAGCTGCAAGAAGGGAAAGAGAAGCCTGAGGCTTGGGCCAGATCATGCCCTCAGAAGAGGTGAGATTTTAGCTTTTAAATAACTTTAAGCAGAAATATGAAATAGCTAGAGTCTAGCTTTTGAAAAGTCATGGTACCCCCCGGAATTCAGTTCTAATGTTGCTGAGTCCTTAGTCCTTCGGGTAAAAAGCTCATTAGTTTGAAAAATACCATATTTGATACATATTGTTATGAGTTGAGTCACCCAAATAGATGTTGAAATCCTAACTCCCAGTACCTGTGAATGTGGCCCTATTTGGAAATAGGGTCTGTAAAGATGTAATCAAGTCACGATGAGGTTATTAGGGTGGGCCCTTATCCAATATGACTGGTGACCTTGTAAGAATAGGAGAAGACAGAGCCACACAGGAAGAATGCCATGTCACAGCAGAGGCATAGATTAGAGATGTAACTGCAAGCCAAAGAATATCAAGGATTGCTGGCCACTCCCGAAAGCTAGG